ATACATACATACATACATACATACATACATACATACATACATACATACATACATACATACATACATACATACATACATACATACATACATACACAATTTTCGAAATCACTCTTTGATCCTTTTATGTAGTACAGCCTTTGATACACCTTATGTTAAAATCCTGAGTTTAAAAGATTACTGCAAAGTGTATCAATCCTTCAGTAAACCACTCGCCTATATCACACCAGACCCAATTTCCACGTGACTCAACCGCCCAAGTGCCAGTTTTGTAGTCCCGTAGCAAATGGGCGGTTGAATCATTCAGATTTAGTGGCTTGTTGAGGTGTTCACCTGTCTCGTAGGCGGTGTGACCCACACAACTGTGGCCTGTGTCAAAACAGACTGGAGGGTAACATCACAACAGAGTTCTGCCTTTGCTAGCTTCGGCTCAGATCAAACCCTATCATAGCCAGAAGATTTTGTCAAGGCAGTTGGCGTAATATATCACTAAGTTTGGTAGTGTTGTTGAGAAAGGGTAAGATGGCATCAAAGAAAATGTTAATACTGTCTTGACCAAGTCGGTAAATTGTGGTAAAAGCAACTGACGAATTAATTTTTTGGGGTTTAATTCTATGATTGACAGCTAAGGGGCGCTTATTTCAAATTCGGCACAACTGTTTGAAAATATTGTTATCGTGACTTTTCTGCCATGTACCATTCTTGAATCATTGATGAGTTATTCAGTTCCGGATAGATAATACTTAATTTGTCACTCGGAAAAAAGCAACACATAATAAACATATTTACGCCGAAAATTCTCTCTTCAACAAATCTTCGACTTCAACTCTCCAGCTTTACACTTCAATTTGAAACAATTCTCTTAATCTCATTCTTTCTAGCAACATGCAAAAAAATGCGTTTTTATACAACTGCCCCCACAAAGTAGTTATTCATCACTGTTGCAAGGACAGTTTACATGCCTTGGAGATGGGAACTCCACGATTGTCAAATTACCGGAGAGCAGAAGAGGACAAGTAATTTTGTGATAAGTAATTCTTCGACAAACTCGACGAAACTATTTTCCCATTACAATTGACAGAATACAGGCAAAATCTATCTTGACTAACACTTTCAAAGCCTCAGAGGCCTTTATAGAGAGTACCAAAAAAAATGGAAAGAGTCACACACTGTTCCAGACGACTTTAGAGATATATTCAAAAAGAACAACCTGTTGTTGTATGTATGTCCGAAGAATCAATATGAAGTACGCAGGGTAAGAGAAAGAATCTAACAAGAAGCTGGCACAAAACCAAGTGGTTGGGACCAGATAATGTCGAGTGTGCGTGGACTTCGAAGTGGATTTGTTAGTATGACGTTGAACGCATCTGCTGCGCTATATCATAACAGGACCAAATTAGCTGTCTATGTATTTTAAAATTTGGGAACCAAAGATTTAAAGTGTCACGTTTGGTACGAAGGAGAAGGATCATTGACTGCCAACAAATTCTCTTCTTGTGTCAGTAACTTCCTGGAGGAGCCTATTGACAATGCCATGTTCATTATATACAGTGATGGTTGTACTTATCAGACCACAACGCTATCTTGTTGAATGCAATCAGCGACATTTGTACCAAATAAAACAAAACTGTCGAACACAAATACCTTGGAAAAAAAACGCAAATGAAAGTGAACAGAGCACACAATGTAGTCGAAATTTTGAAGTCCAAGAAAAATGTCATGGTCTTGTGTTCATGGATAATCTTGAAAGTTTTTAAGAAAGCAAGACACCCCCC